AAACAGAAAATCAACAGAGACGCGGAAAGAAATTTAGAAGTAAAATGGGGATGGCTAAGGAGCGGAAAGGACAATAAGTTGACAAGAATGAAATATTGGAAAAAGTTTTAATATGAATAAAATACTTCATAAGGTTTAGTGCTTAACTACAACGTCTAAGTGAGTTTTCAAAAGTTTGATAGAAAGGGTGATACAGTTTAAAGTTTGTCATTTATAATGAAGCTCGTCGACAAATGAAAAAGAATTGAAGAAACATATTAAGCTTGTGAATTCCGACAAAAGTATTACTATGTATTGCGGAGTGCTTTAGTAAAAAAAAATTGTTTTAAAATAAACAAACTGTCCAAAATCCCAGTTATGGATGTGCATTTGTTATGTTAGATTCATCTTCTTGCCGACAATCCGACCTAACGTCCAAATTGATCATTTCGGCGCCTCGAGGATAAATGAAAAAACCTGCATACCTTCGATAAAAACCAATGACAGTACTAGCGCCTATACTACTGTCCTAAACCTGTCATCCATAGCGGAATCATGCGGTTGCTATTGTCTTAAGACTCTAAGTAAATACTTTTTGTCACTAAAAAGTAATTCGGTGGAATCAATGCTAATGCAGTGTGAACATAACTACCCAGACAGAATAAGTTATGTGTTTCAAAGTATGACTTGCATAGTTATGGGGTCTGAAAGTATCTAGATAAATACAGTATGTTGTGCAATTGATCAATTGGTTGACAGAAACGATTTTCTTTACTTAATATTTAATATGACCCCCCTTTCTGTTGACCGGACCAACTTCCTGCAGAAGTCCATTTGAGCCTTCTGCTATTAAACATTAAGATTCCGATACTTGTAACTAGTATGTCGGAAATCACACGCTTAACCTCAACCGAAGCATATTCGATTGGGTTGAGGTCTGTTGCCAAAACTTGGCTTCAAAACAACAGCTTTGAAGTACTCGACGGCCCCCTCAATCACCTGACCTCAACCCAAGCATATTCGATTGGAACTTCTTTGTGTTTTCTGTGTGCTAATAAGGATTTCTTCTATTTTTTTTGCATTTAGGACTTTCATCTATGTTAAGGCCAAATTTAATGAAATAACAAAGAAAAATAGTAGAAAATACTATCGTTTCATTAAAAACTTAATTCTTACGATTTCACCACTATTAATTGTAGAATAAAAATAAAAACGTGAACAGCAGCACAATGTCAACTTTCTGATGATATGCCTTCGTCTACATAAAGGTATAACGAGTGAGTGAGAGCTAACACTCTTTTTGCTTCATTACGATAATAATTTATATGATTTCTATGATATAGTTTTAGACTGCAAGATTAACAAAACTAACAACTTATTCACATGCATTATGATTTGGTATCATATGAAACGAATTGAAAAGCTTTCCTGGAGAGAGAGAACCAGTTGAAAAATTAATACTGCCTGATCGGAGAATTAATTTGTGTCAGATAGAGAATGAATATGAAAAAAAGTTAGCGCGCCGCTTGACAAACAGCGATGTTTGGATGGTTTTAAAGAAATTGTACCAAGATAATTTGGATGAAATTAGCAACAGCGTTGCTACAGTTGATGAAATTTGGATTCGTCAGAGTGATCTCAAATCCAAGCAGGAGTCGATGTAGTGGGTAAAAAGGTAGAAAGGCAACAAAAAAAACTAAAAGTGGGAAAGTCAAAAATTTCTGGGGTATCGAGTGAATATTATTAATTGATTACCTGACAAAGAGAACTACATGCCTTGTATTACGCTACTTTTAGTTGAGGCAGGCGCGTGAGACAGTCGCACAGCAAACGACGTGTCAAGTTCGCGCGGATCCCTTCACACTGCTCGGGTTGCGATTGATGCCTTAAAAGCATTTGGAATTACAGAAATTGACCATGCAACGTTAAGTCCTGACCTGGCTCTCCGTGACTTTTTTCTATTTTTCAAATTTAAAATATTTTTTAAGATTTTATTACTTACTGTTTCCGATGTCGAAGCAGATTCCATAAATAAATATTAATGCTTAGAAAAAACAAGCAGTTACGGAGAAAAAGACCTTCAAACGACAGTGAGAATATATGTAAATAAATTTTTTCAGTGGTGTAAAGGCATTGTTTTAACGATGTGAAAACTGTATTTCACTTAAGGGGCACACCTTGTGTAATGGCCTAAAAAAAGGTGATTTTTGAGAATCTTCATTAAAAAAAAGTACTTTATAAATTATTTCAAAATTTTAAAAATATTTTTATATATGTTTCAAGAATGTACAGTGAAATTTTAAAAGAAAAAAATTAAATATTTTTTAAGTTATAGTCGATCTCCAACGGCGCGAAAAAAAGGCCCTTCATTGCTGCAGGGATTCCGGCCTTCTCCGTGGAGGAAATCGAAAAAAAAAATTTTACTATTGCCTGTACAATGACAATATGGCGGGGTTTTAAGAAAATAGTCGAATTTCACGCGAAATTTTGGTCGTTTTTGTCTGTCTAAATTTGATTTATTGATCAGATCAAAAATCGATAGGTCATTGTACGGAGAACTATATATAGAACATGTAAAAATAAATTCGATAGTGATCGGATCATTTGTTTTTGAGTAATCACTGCAGCAAATGCGGAAAATGCTGTTTCGAGAAAAACGCGTTTAAAGATAAAATGATCATTTTCACTCGTAGCTAATGAGACTCTCTAGCTGCCGAGCGGCTGCTCTTTAAATTGCTATAACTCAAAAACTATTTGAGATATCGATTTGATATTTTGATATGTTATTTTTAAAGGTGTAATCTAAAAAATATGAAAAAAAGAGATAATTTTTTTTTTGAAATTTCACACTAGGTGTGCGTCTTAAAGGAGACTGTATTGAAAAATAGAAAAAAAACATAAAACTACAGATTCTTGATGAATATAAAAGACAACAAGAGACCTAATTGACTGCCCTGAAATATTGCTTGTCCTTCTGAAATCAATGTTAATAACTTCGGCTTGATACACTTTTTTTCACATAAATGTTGAATTCTGGCAGGTTGAAAAATTTACGTTCAAAATCCTGTGTTTGGGAAGGTCACTAGTTAAATCGTTAATTAATTATATTAATAATATTTTTTTTTTTAATTTGTAATGAAATGAAGATTTATAATGCAGTCGCTCATAACGTATTAAAAATTTATCTTGAGATAGAGTTCGCCCGGAGAGAGTGGTAAATCAATAAAATGCGTGGCACTTTTCGCGAGTGCAGCTAGAGCTGATATTTTTGGCCACTGGCACTAAAATGGTTAAAGAGTCCACGCAATTTAAAGTACACTAGCAATATCAAAACCGATTCATAACTTTTTGCAACTTTGGAATTTGTTCTAAATTAAATGAATCCTAGAAATTTGTTTGATAAACATAAATGCTAGCCATTTAACCTCCCAACAAGTTTGACAACACGAATGTGAACTGGATGCCACTAATAAAAATATTGTATCATGAACGTCACGCATACAATTACATTTATATTTTTAAGAATCGGCTATTCATACATCAATCACTCAAAAGTTAGTCATTTTGCTTTGCTCCTTAGAGTATGAGTTTCCTGAGTTTTTTGTGGCTCACCGAAGTTGGAATTGCAAATTATAGTAAATTGATTGCTTAACTAATGGATTTCATTTCAATTCAACAACATTAGGAGTAGAAAAAAGATGTGTAAACGGGCTTTTTTTTTGTTTTGGACGAAGGCACTTGGTTTGATTTACATTTTCGCATGATTTTGCCTTACAATTGCCTTTGAAGGCTCACCATTAGCGATTTCCTTTTCCGGCAGGCGGAACAAATTACGATTAAAGTAGTGAAAGCGGTATAAATAAATACACAAGCTGAAGGGCAGCAGAATATGCAACCAAATTGCTGAATTTATCGTGCGCCATTGCAATCATGAGAGCAGCAGGCGTTGAACGAAATGTTATATATTTTGTTTTTATGGCAGTAGATTTTAATGGTAATGGAGTTGTAAACATTTACCGTTAAACGAAAAATTAGATATGTATGCGAACACATGCTTATAGAATTTATACAAAAAAAAGGAAAAGAAAACATGTTTTTAATCCAACAAATAGCTGTTAGGGGGCATATTTCGTTGGGAAACTAGTGAGACGTATTTTGCGGCGGGAAAAAATTAAAAAATATTTTTTTTTTTACCTTTTCAATTCTATTTTATTTGTATGTTTTCTGGAATTGTAGTAAATTTTATGATATTGTTGACAATCAACCGAAGCAATTAAATACTTTTACTGGCAGTTAAACACTTCATTGCATATTTTATTACATTCAATCTTACATCAACCCAGTGAAACCCGTAATGGTTCTTTTCACAAGGAGATAAGTAAGCCACTTCTTTTTGAACCACTCAAGCTAAGTGGCATGGTAATCACACTTTCTACCGAAGTGAAATATATCGAGATAATCTTAGTTAACAAGCTCAACTGTATCCGAAATATGCCGGAAAGGTCAAGGACACTGAAAGCAGGGCGGTCATTGGCGAAAGATGGGTTATTGTTCACTGGAACGTAGCGGCAGTCAGACTTAATTTATTCTACGAGGTTAATGACTGGTGATCAGCATTCGAAAAAACCACTTTCAGGAGCAGAATTCCTCTACCGGAGCTCTATCATCAACATAATTAAAAGCTCTGGAAACAACTCTTAATTTTTTTCTCCTGGATTTTTACGGCAAACTTTATGCGAGTTGCAATGCTTTTAGATTGGACGCGGCTCAGCCTTGAAGGTACCGTGCCACAGGGCATGCCCGGATATTTTCTGCACAGTTTCCAGCGGAGTTATACATACGCTATCTCCACTTACTGTTTTGACAACTTCTTCTCTACAAGATTACCGGACAGAAATGCATGGGAGAGTGTAAGCGATCCGGATTAGAGTTAAATAGCCCTATTCACGGTTGGTACTAAACTCGATGGTGTACAAAATACGAAATTACAAAGTTAAATTACTATGAATGCATACACTTACCAAGAGTATGACCCAGAAGTGAATTTTTGTATCCATTATTCTTATCTGCATAGTTGTGGGTTCATCTTTTGATCTGTGAATGAGAAATTAAAGAGATATTAAATTTATAGCCAGAAATTATATGTTTATCCTATGAAATCTTTTTATAACGTACAAAGTAGATTTTTTCCTACACTACACGGATACTCATAATGAACAGGATACTTTAGTGGTGCTTCTTCCTTAACAATCTTTAAAACTACAACAGCGAAATTTCAGAAATCTTCAAAAGCAATAGCAAATATTCGTAGTAATAGGAAATTGAAAATCTTAACAAATTTAAGTTCAGTATTTTTTCATATTTCCTTCTTTGCTTGTCGTTTTGGCTCATTAAAAATACAACATTTTCTTCTTTTACTTGATGACGGTAGCCAAAATAAATATTTATTGGTAAAGGTAAAGTTTACTTATTCCACAAGTTGACTCTTGACGCTTGACTTGGCCAGCGCGGTCAGTGTCGAGAGGCAGTACAGTACAACAAAATTCAATTTGTCAAACTATGTGAAACTTCTAATTATTTTGAAAATGCTTTTAGTGTGCCTGCCAGATGGATGTAGGACAGAACTTAATAGAATAAGGGAAGAACCAAAGTAAAGGGAAGTCTGAAGTGCGAAAGGAAGGAATTCATTAAATTTATTTTTAGATTTTAGTTTCAACTAATTTTGTTGTTTAAAAGGAAAATTTTATATTTTGTGTAATTTTAACTCAAATAAAATAATAAAATCGAATTCCAATTGTGGTTTCTCTTTGGCATTGAGTCTATATCTGACATGAAGGAAAGCCCTTTTTTATAAATACAATCGCCAGTTGGAGGCGGCTTAGAAGGAGCTAGAAGTGCTTCGCTACTTTGTCGGCATGGCTTAGAATTCTATGATTCTAATAAGAATTTTATAAGGCTTTTTACGTTGTTTCTTTTATTATAATTTTCTTCTCTATATCAAAGTTTTCTAAATATTTATTAGTCTAGACAAAGAGCTATCTGGAGCATAGATATCAAGCAAGACGTGCTATAAACACAATCTTTCCGCACAGATCGGTCACTTGTTCACTTCCAGCAAGAAAATTACTCTACATTTTGATCTTGGCAAGGCTAACTGCAAGGCCACCTACATATGTTCCAAGTATTAGGGGGGAACCTGGTTTAGAACGTTGAAAATTTCATGATATTCGACACCGTGTTTTGGGTTGCCTTATGTATGAAATGTTTCAAGTGCTTTTGAAATAGGTCATAGATACACAAATCTTGCAAAAAAAAGTTACTTTCACTTTATTTGATACTGTTAAGCAATAACAATTCATATTTGTTTGTGGCACTTGTCGTTCGAAGAGTCTATATTGTGAACACGATAGCGATCGTAGTTTTCATCTGAAACATAAAAAGAATATTTTTTTTGTAGCTTAGGAGTTGCTGTTCTATGTGAACCTAAATTTATTTATTTTATGAAAAAAGTTAATAAAAATAATTTTATTGTGATTTTTTAGCTCACACTATTAGCTGCAAAAAAAGGTATCACTTATGAAAATGCGACAATTACAACTTTTTTAATCGTGTGCACAAAACGGAAAAACAGTGGTTTGCGAAAATCGCGTTCAAAGTTCTCGAGTCCGCTTATCAGTCTCCTGAGCGCATCGTCTCTCAGAGGCCATTTCTGCGGAGCGATTAGGAATTTGACTCTGAAATTTTGTGGAAATGTTTCTGAATATATTTCTAATCAAACGAGACACGTTCCTAAAAATCGATTTTTTGATCCTCTAAATCAGGTTCCCCCCTTAAGCATATGCAAGCCATCAAATCGGTCCAAGGCACACTTTCCCTAAGAAAAGTATTCTCCATATTAATTTATGCCTAAAGCGACCTCTGTAGCGATAACTAAAATTGTTTCGTTTAGGTCGGTCCAGGGCTACTTTCCAAAAGAGCTACTTGTGTACCGAATTTCTTGAAAAAAAAAATTCAAAGGAAAATTCGAATTTTTTTAATGGATCAGATCCACAACTACTTTCCGGAAAGGGGAAAAAAGTAAGTTGGACATAGAGCTATTTACTATTGTGCAAAATTTTATGTAAATCAAATGATAAACACAATTTTATCCGATTAGATTGGTTCAAAAAAACTCAATTTTTCCGATAAAATCGGTGCCAAGTCCATTCCCGGAGCAAAATGTCTTATCGAGTGCAAACGTCATACGCAGGACGCACCCTTGAAGCTTTAAGTCTCTAGAATCAGTACTTAAGACTGTGGGTTGTTCAGTCAGTCACTCAGAACAAAGCCATTTATATATATAGATTATATTTGGTTCAAATCCTCGTATGACCAACATCCAAAAGCTATAGAAAAATAATTTAAATATAAAATAGAGTTAAATTTGCTGATTGCGGTCGCTCCTCGGCGGGGAATGTCAACTCCTCCGAGTTAAATATCTAATTTCAAAGATGCCATTATTTCTTACCTAACTTAGTAAGGATTTTATCACTATTGAATTCAATTTATTTTATTATCACAAAAAAATATTTAGCATTAACATTTACACATGTCAAACCGATCGACGCGACAACTAAAGCTCAGTAAGTCAGTGAGTTGTTGAATTTAATCGCAGCCCAGAGATTAGAGTAAGTACTTTTATGCCGGCCTCAACATACTAATACACCACCAAAAGGTCATTACAACTCTAGAGTAAATAATGCACAATTATCAAGTAAATCTTTGTTCTCTGCTACAATCTATCTCACTCACACCTCCAATCAGGCGTCTAAATCCCGGCAAGTGTCAATGTAATTAAACGTTGGTACAAAATCCAATTGCACCGTTAGACTAACTGACACATTGGAAGTGTCGGTAAATTATCACGTGTCACAAATGAAATGGAAACACGCAAAGATATACAATAAAATTATGTAATGAGGAAATAGCCATCAGCACTCAAATATATATGTACTAGAAGTCATTGACAGCTTTCTATAAGACGGTCTGTGGCCGTCACTTCAAATTATACGCCTAAGGCAATTTATGAGCGCTTTACTGTTTATAAGATCTAATTACAGCAATTGGAAGATAAAATGTGCTGGATTTAAACTTACAGAAGCAGAAACTTGTAGAAGCATAGCTAAGAGCCTTAGTAGTAGCGACAGTAGCAAGTTAGTTGTTGGCATGAGGCGTGCATTTCAACAAAACAGAAAAGTTTCTAATGACCATTATAAAGTGTGCAAATGGTTCTTCACACTCACGCACTCATCAACAAAAGTGCGTTAACGCATATAAATATACATGCTCATAAGCAAATTATTCTTCATTGTATGTCTACTTGTAAGGTTCTCCGCAAAGGCCTATTGTGCACACCACTCATGGACGATATCCATATAAACACTTGCAGATAATTAAAACATGGTGTGGGAATGAGCAACATCGTTAGGTGAGGCTACCTTCTCCAGGTGAGGCTAGGAGGTAAGATAGGTATAGAATATCTATCTACTTTTCAAGATCGAAAGTGAATTGCGCGCATGGAGTCAAAGTGCACTCGAAGGATTCTAAAATATACGTTTTCTTGCTTCTTTCATACTCAGCTATCATCTGCCACACTAAAGTACTAGGCATAAGAAAGTCCTGCGCAGCATAGTGAATACTTACGAGAGCATGCAGAAGCCAATGTAATATTCAGATAGTCACCTTGCACTGCTGGCCATATCATCGCCAATTTTAAATCCAGCGTAACCAACAATTGCAGGGAGACTCTAAGTTCCCTGCGGGCGGGTCAACCCGACCTCTGTATAAACACAATTTCTGACCATAGAAACATAATCGGCACGAGAAGCTTACGAGTGTAGAGCAGACGACCAATAACACGTCACTATCATTGTGATTAACATTTGTTACTTTGGTTTCAATATTAAAAATAAATTAAAGACAAAAAAAAAAAAAAAATAGTGGAACTCCAGTGCATATGTATTTAAGTATAATCATTTATTTCAGCATACATATGTGTATACATAAATACAAGCTTGAATACATACAGAAATTTTCCAAATGTCAAGTGTGTCGAGGATAAATTCCCTACAGAATAGAAATGACAAGCAACAAAATGTTAAATTATGGAGGAAATGTAAAATAAATTGGGAAAACTTCTAAATGTCGACATTAATTGAGTAGAACAATAATACATATATTTATATACATATTTATGTGAGTAAACGTGCAAATCGGGTATATTTGTACATTTGTAGCTACAGGATCCAAGTCGTGGCACTTTTTTCAATAACTTTTCTTGTACACGAAGACCGTTAAGAGTAGATTCGTCGCCCTTCGCAGCAACTCGGATTGACGTGTGAAACGAATTGGCCCATTTTACGTGTGGGTCTTAAATTGAAGCGTACAAAATATAGCTGTGCAGTAACTGAAGCCACTAGACCTTGCGCTCAATGAGCTCCTGAAAGGTTCCAAGGGGATGCAACACTTTCGAGAAAATTCTTGTTTAGATATTAGGCCCATTTATGGCTCAATGGGTATGTAAAGAAGCAAAATTGCCGAAGAGACCTTTCTTCACAAACCAATTGGCTACCGTTATCGCCATGACAACCGACTATTTGGTACCTGAAATTGAAGCGCGTGATTCATACGAACTGAGGAATGAAAACTAGTGTTTTATACATTTTAATTAATTTTTTTTTTCAAAGCTTTTTAAATTTATTTTAGTTTTTTTATTTTATTTTAATATAAATTACTTTATTTGGAGGCGGTTTAGTATAAACTGTAGATCCCGCCATTTGTTGGAAAAAACATCAAGACGTAAAACCACAAACTGGAGGAGTAGCCTCGGCCGAAAGCAACAATTTTATTATTAATTTTCATTTTATTTTAATATGTCGTATTCTAATTTGTTATAATTTTTACATTTAATTCTTTTTATTATATTTTATTTAATTTTTTGTTATTTTTTTATATTATTATATTTTATTTTATATTTTTAAATTATTATACAATAATAAGACGGATTTATTATAATTAACTTAAGTTTCAATTCATTTGGTATTGTTTTGTTTTAT